TCGACTCCTGCAAGAATTATATTTCTACGGATCAGCACGGTTTCTACCCCAAAAGATCAACATCTACAAATCTCGTCCAGTTTACTTCGTTTTGCATACGCAACATTGATGCTGGTGCTCAGATCGACACCGCATACACTGATTTGAAATCAGCTTTCGATAGAGTTGACCGCGGAATATTACTGAAACGTCTAGGAAGAATTGGTGTCTCTGCGGATCTTGTTAGCTGGTTTGGATCATACCTTACGGATCGTAGCCTCACCGTTAATATCGGATTTGAGTCTTCGGAACAATTTTCAAACTTATCTGGCGTGCCACAGGGTAGCAACCTGGGTCCTTTGTTATTCTCACTCTTCATCAACGACCTTTCTCTCGTACTACCATCTGGCTGCCGTGTGTTTTACGGTGATGACGTCAAAATATACATGATCATTAAAGGTATCGAGAACTGCTATGCTCTACAATTTCTGCTGAATAGTTTACTGATTGGTGCACCCGGAACATGCTGACGTTGAGCATCCACAAATGTAACGTTATATCGTTTCATCGCAAGCTCAACCCAATTACGTATGATTATTCAATTAATGGTCAGTCCCTTGACCGTTGTCTTCAAGTTCGTGATCTTGGTGTCATCCTGGATTCAGCGCTGACCTTCCGATCGCACTACAACGATATTATCTGTAGAGCCAACCGACAGCTGGGATTTATGTTCAAAATATCCTGCGGGCTACAAATGGTGAGTCGACAAACTGGAAGGAGTGTTGTCCCAACAGCTCTGGTCCTCACAAGTTCCTACCTCACGCTTCCACGGGTCAGCCGATGACAAAGACCGCCAGCAAAAGATGCTGGTAGCGTAGCCTGGGCAATGTCACCACGATAAAAACATGGATCCGGATCGTGGTGATAGCAAAGTGAGGAGGTGCGACCCTCGAGCGTCTGTTCACCATTGAGGTGCGGCTCAAACAGCGTCTGTCTCGGAGCGAGCGGCTGAATAAGAAATGCTGTATCACGTCAGCTACACCTAAGGTGGCAGCCCCACCAACATGATGTAGGTATCGCGACCCCGGTAAGGTAGCATACTGAAACCCCCAACATTACTCAGAAAAACGAAGAAAGAGAAAACAACGAACGGAATTTTCGGCAACCGACCCGGCAACGAAATAAGGACAATGAATGGAAACTCGGTACTTGGAATGTCAGAACCTTAAATAAACCTGGACGAGCGGGCCTTTTGGCTCGTGAACTGCAAAAAGTGAATGTGAGCGTAGCTGCTATTCAGGAAGTACGGTGGCCTAGATCCGGAGAACGTGAATTCCGGGCGGTGGATCCCATCGCCAACACTTCCTTCAAGTATCATATCTATCACAGCGGTGGCGATAGGGCAGAACATGGAGTAGGGTTCATAGTGATCGGGAAGCAGATGAAGCGTGTTATGCGGTGGAGACCGGTAAGCGACCGCATCTGTGTATTAAGGATTCGGGGCAAATTCTTCAACTACAGCCTGATCAACATCTATGCGCCAACCAACGATAAATCCGATGACGTGGAGGACGCGTTTTATGACAGTCTCGATAAAACTTATGATGAGTGCCCAAAACACGACGTGAAGATTGTAATGGGAGATGCAAATGCGCAGGTCGGGAGGGAAGATTTCTTTCGTCCAATCATTGGTACAGAGAGCCTACATACAGTAACCAATGATAACGGCCTGAAACTGATAAACTTCGCCGCTGCTAGAGGTATGGCCATCAGTAGCACCTACTTTGCACGCAAGAATATCCGAAAGCACACCTGGAGACACCCAAATGGCGAAACTTGCACCCAGATCGATCACATGTTGGTGGATGGCCGGCACTTCTCAGATGTCATTGATGTAAGGACTTTTAGGGGGCCTAACATTGACTCAGATCATTATCTTGTTGTCTGCAAAATTCGGGCGCGTCTATCGACCGTTACGAATTCAACGAACCGGAGATCGATGCGTTTCAATATCCATCGCTTGTCAGTAGAAGGTGTTGCTGCAGAGTACCGCCAGAAGCTTGATGAGCGGATTAGCGAAATCAACGTGAACGAGGACCTCAACAATCTGTGGAACACAATCCACGGAGCGGTGAACACAACAGCACAAGAAGTGATAGGTACAGCTCAAAGACGACCACGTAATGGCTGGTTTGATGAGGAGTGCCAGAGGTTGACTGATGAGAAGAACGTTGCCAGAAGCCGGATGTTAGTGTCTGGTACCCGGCTGAACAGAGAGCGGTACAAGGTAGCAAGGGCAGCTGAGAAACGAACCCACCGCAGAAAGAAAAGGCAATACGAAGAACGCGTGATTGCTGAGGCGCAAGAAAGTATGGAACAGAACGATATGCGAAGGTTCTACGCGACTGTCAATGGTGTGCGGAGTAAAACAGCGCCATCTCCCGCCATGTGCAATGACCTTGAGGGGAATTTGCTGACAGATAAAACAATGGTGGCTGCCAGGTGGAAATAACATTTTGAGACATTGTTGAATGGAGAGAGTGAGGGAGTATCGAGGAACAGAGTAAACATCGCAGACGACGATCAAGCTGTGGAGCCTCCAACGCTAGACGAGGTTAAAAAGGCAATACGTGAGCTGAAAAGCAATAAGGCTGCTGGGAAGGACGAGCTCCCGGCCGAACTTTTCAAACACGGAAGTGAGCAGCTGCATCAAGCAATCCACCGTATTCTAACGAAGATATGGGAGGACGAAGAACTGCCTGCTAGCTGGTTGGATGGCCTCATTTGCCCATTATTCAAAAAAGGGCACAGACTCGAGTGCGCCAATTATCGAGGAATAACTCTTCTGAATTCGGCGTACAAAATACTGTCACGCGTTCTGTTTAACAGATTGAGACCGCTTGAGGAGTCCTTCGTCGGTGAATACCAGGCTGGTTTTCGTGAGGGCCGATCAACGACGGATCAAATGTTTACCCTGCGTCAAATCCTTGATAAATTCCGGGAGTACAACTAGCAGACTCACCATCTGTTTATTGATTTCAAAGCAGCATACGATTCAGTGAAGAGAAATGAGCTTTGGCAGATTATGCTAGAACATGGTTTTCCGGCGAAACTAATTAGACTGATTCGCGCAACGCTAGATGGATCGAAATCAAGTGTAAGGGTTGCAGATGAGATTTCGACCTCGTTCGTGACCTTAGATGGATTGAAGCAGGGTGATGCACTTTCAAACTTACTGTTCAACATTGCTCTTGAAGGAGCGATTAGGAGAGCTGGTGTGCAGAGGAACGGTACCATCATCACACGATCGTACATGCTCCTTGCCTTTGCGGACGACATCGATATCATCGGAATTGACCCTAGAGCAGTGGAAGAGGCGTTTGTGCCTTTTAAGAGGGAGACGGCGAGGATTGGGCTCACGATAAGTTCTACCAAAACGAAGTACATGGTAGCCAGCGTGGGAGCAATAGTGGTGTTGGTAGTGTAGTGTTGTTAGATGGTGAACAATTTGAGGTAGTGGAAGAATTTGTGTATCTTGGAACACTAGTGACATGCGATAATGATGTTACCCGCGAGGTGAAGAGACGTATTGCAGCTGCAAACAGGGCCTTTTACGGATTACGTAGCCAGCTGAAGTCCCGTAGCCTGCAAACGAAAACGAAATTCGCTCTGTATAAGACGCTGATACTTCCGGTAGCCCTCTACGGCCACGAATCGTGGACGTTAAAAGAGTCTGACCGGAGAGCATTTGGTGTCTTCGAGCGTAAGGTGCTGCGAACAATACTCGGCGGTAAACAGGAGAATGGCATCTGGCGGCGTCGCATGAATCACGAGTTGTACCCAGTGTATAACGGTACGGATATAGTGAAGCTTATAAAACACGGCAGACTACGGTGGGCTGGGCATGTAGTGCGGATGCCGGAAGAACGACAAGCAAATATTATATTCAGCAGAGAACCCGGTAGAGGTCGTCGACTCCGGGGTAGACCTCGGACACGTTGGCTATTTGCAGTTGAGGAGGACATCAGGTCGCTAAACGTTCATGGCGACTGGAAGCGATTGGCTCAGGACCGAGTCCAATGGAGAAGAGTACTTCGTTCGGCGTTGAATCAACCTGGCGATTCGTAGCCCATCAAGTATCAAGTAAGTATCCTGCGAATTTACCGATCCTCTCTGCCTCCGGTCTCTGTACTGCGCACTGGTGCGATCGATTCTGGAATCCAACTCTGTAGTATGGTGCCCGTACCAGTCAACCTGGACTGGTAGGATCGAAGCAATTCAGAGAAAATTTGTGAGATATGCCCTACGACGCCTTCCGTGGCGAGATCCGTTAAACCTACCACAATATGGAGATCGATGCAGATTATTGGGACTGCAGACGCTTGAGCAGAGACGGAATGATGCCCAAGCGGTGTTTGTAGCTAAACTTCTCACAGGAGAAACTGACGCACTGGAGTTACTAGGTCAACTTAACCTATACGTTCCTGAACGATTACTTCACCAACGGGACTTTTTGCTGCTTGAGCCCCGCAACTCCTTGTACGGCCTTCATGATCCTGTCCGCTTTATGCCGACTAGGTTCAACGAAGTCTACATCCTCTTCGACTTCAACTCTACTGTGGCAACATTTAAGCGTAGACGGACTGAATTGCATTAATGGATCGAGTGAGATTCGTTATTGTGAAAGGTGAGTAATATTCCATTGCTCCTAAATTGTAACGATTATGCTACCTGTATCCTTTTTTTGTTCTCGATTCACCTCTGCCGACGAGGATTGCTTCGGATGATGGAGTTGATAGAATTATTTTTTTTTTTTATGTTTTTGACTACAGTTGATATTTGAAGCCATGTTCACTTTATGTTATGTTCACGGATGTACTGTATTGTGAAAAGATATGGGGTTTTTAAGCAATTTAAATTGGCTTTTCCCCATCACATTCATTAAGACGACAAAAAGTCAGATTAATAAATAAATAAATAAATAAAATAAAAAAAAAAAATATATATTCATAATTACTTACATTGCACCCTCAGATGCACCCGTTTGCTGATGGACGGCGGCACTCCGTTGGACGCCACGCACAGATACGCCGTCATGTGCAACCTGCTGACCCTGGTGATGTGAAGCATCTCTCCGTCGACCACATTCACTGCAAGAGAAAAAGAAAACGAATCGAAAAAGAAACCAAACCACACATACAAAAAAAAGGGAAATCAGAACCGACACAATCTGCCACTCACAACGACTGTAACTAACTAACTAACTAACTAACTAACTAACTAACTATTACATCAAGCTAATCGCTCACAACCAACGTAGCTGTCGGCTGTCGTCTTCCCACTAATTAATTAGCAGCTCGTAATCGAGAAGACCGAGCTGGAAGAGGGGAGCCAACTTACCATTCTCGCCACCGATGGGCATCTCGTCACCATCCTCCCGGCGCCACATGACGTACGGTTCGGGGAATCCCTTCGCCTTGCACGTCAACGTCACGTTGGTTCCTTCCCGGACGACCATGTCGTTGCTCGTCAGCGATTCCACAATCGAGGGCGGCACTAATTGAAAATTAAATTATGTACAGCGTTAAATTAGATTATAATCGTCTGGTTCGGGCTCTTGGTAGGTCCGAGAATAGGATTTGGTGTAAATAAAGAAGCTGTTCAAGCCTCAAAGGACGGGCGAAAACTGGTGGATTCTTAGGAAGGAAGTTTCCCCGAAGTTGACTGTTAATGATCTTGACAATTTCCCGGCAAAAGTTTGCCAGCAACGCATTAAAGGAGATTGAGAGGCAGGCAGCATGTTTTCGATTGCTCCAAAATTCACAACAATCTAAATGGAATATTATCACCGACCGACAGTTCCGGCAAGAGCGGAAACTCCAAATGGGTGCTTCTCCCCTTTTTCCCGACCGAGCACCAACAACTGCTTGTAATCGGCTTTAAACTGTGATAATTGTCTCATTTACCGGGGGCTACGGACGACATCAAGTCCCCATTTTCCGACCGGCAACCTGGTGGAGGCGGAAACATAAAATGACAAAATTATAATCTCAACTGAAATAAACAAAAACACGGAACGTGCAACATAAAATCGACTGACCGACCGACGATGGAAAAGCGATCGAAACGCGTGCCAGGAAAACTGATTTTGCATCGCGTCCACCACTGTTTTGGAGCATTTGGTGGTTTTTCGGTGGACTGGGACCTCCCAATAGTGTAGCAAAATTTATATGATTCATTAGGAAACAGGTAAAAAACGCTACCACTCAAATCGCCCCCGCTTGACTCTCCGACAAAGTGATGGTAGCACGCAAACCACGTGGATAAACGTTCCATAAAATCCCATAATGGCTGCGGCTGGTTGGTTTGAATTTGATATAAATTGGATTCAATCTAATCCATTGGGGGGGGGGGGGACAGGAGGAATGGAAGAACCTTCGGGGTGCTTTATTACCGATGAGCGATTTCCGGTGAACTGTAATAATTGTTTGATTTCTCGACGGCTTCAAGCAGTCGCACGCCGGTCGTTTCAGAGGTGTGGGAAAAGTAATCAGGTTTGGAATGGGGTGTTTTGGTACAATCAGTTTGTCACGGTAATCGTGTTAAGGTTTAATGACTTTTTGCGATTGAGTCGAATTGTTCGTACCAGAATTTATAGCGGGCCAACCATTAATAAAAATTTCGAGCATCTGGACACCCCCCAAAATCGCGACCACAGCTATATTTAAGGAGATACATCGATTTAAAGGTTTGGGAAACCCACCGGCCGACAAATAATGATTTATGAAATATTTTGTACTGGGAAATTTGGATATGAAAATTTCGAGCATCTGGACACCCCCCAAATCGCGATTAGAGCTATATTTAAGGAGATACATCGATTTAAAGGTTTGGGAAACCCACCGGCCGACAAATAATGATTTATGAAATATTTTGTACTGGGAAATTTGGATATGAAAATTTCGAGCATCTGGACACCCTCCAAATCGCGATTAGAGCTATATTTAAGGAGATACATCGATTTAAAGGTTTGGGAAACCCACCGGCCGACAAATAATGATTTATTAAATATTTTGTACTGGGAAATTTGGATATGAAAATTTCGAGCATCTGGACACCCCCCAAATCGCGATTAGAGCTATATTTAAGGAGATACATCGATTTAAAGGTTTGGGAAACCCACCGGCCGACAAATAATGATTTATGAAATATTTTGTACTGGGAAATTTGGATATGAAAATTTCGAGCATCTGGACACCCTCCAAATCGCGATTAGAGCTATATTTAAGGAGATACATCGATTTAAAGGTTTGGGAAACCCACCGGCCGACAAATAATGATTTATGAAATATTTTGAACTGGGAAATTTGGATATGAAAATTTCGAGCATCTGGAGACCCCCCAAATTGCGATTAGAGCTATATTTAAGGAGATAAATCGATTTAAAGGTTTGGGAAACCCACCGGCCGACAAATAATGATTTATGAAATATTTTGTACTGGGAAATTTGGATATGAAAATTTCGAGCATCTGGACACCCCCCAAATCGCGATTAGAGCTATATTTAAGGAGATAAATCGATTTAAAGGTTTGGGAAACCCACCGGCCGACAAATAATGATTTATTAAATATTTTGTACTGGGAAATTTGGATATGAAAATTTCGAGCATCTGGACACCCCCCAAATCGCGATTAGAGCTATATTTAAGGAGATAAATCGATTTAAAGGTTTGGGAAACCCACCGGCCGACAAATAATGATTTATGAAATATTTTGTACTGGGAAATTTGGATATGAAAATTTCGAGCATCTGGACACCCCCCAAATCGCGATTAGAGCTATATTTAAGGAGATACATCGATTTAAAGGTTTGGGAAACCCACCGGCCGACAAATAATGATTTATGAAATATTTTGAACTGGGAAATTTGGATATGAAAATTTCGAGCATCTGGACACCCCCCAAATCGCGATTAGAGCTATATTTAAGGAGATACATCGATTTAAAGGTTTGGGAAACCCACCGGCCGACAAATAATGATTTATGAAATATTTTGTACTGGGAAATTTGGATATGAAAATTTCGAGCATCTGGACACCCTCCAAATCGCGATTAGAGCTATATTTAAGGAGATACATCGATTTAAAGGTTTGGGAAACCCACCGGCCGACAAATAATGATTTATGAAATATTTTGTACTGGGAAATGATTTATGAAATATTTTGTACTGGGAAATTTGGATATGAAAATTTCGAGCATCTGGACACCCCCCAAATCGCGATTAGAGCTATATTTAAGGAGATACATCGATTTAAAGGTTTGGGAAACCCACCGGCCGACAAATAATGATTTATGAAATATTTTGTACTGGGAAATTTGGATATGAAAATTTCGAGCATCTGGACACCCTCCAAATCGCGATTAGAGCTATATTTAAGGAGATACATCGATTTAAAGGTTTGGGAAACCCACCGGCCGACAAATAATGATTTATGAAATATTTTGTACTGGGAAATTTGGATATGAAAATTTCGAGCATCTGGACACCCTCCAAATCGCGATTAGAGCTATATTTAAGGAGATACATCGATTTAAAGGTTTGGGAAACCCACCGGCCGACAAATAATGATTTATGAAATATTTTGTACTGGGAAATGATTTATGAAATATTTTGTACTGGGAAATTTGGATATGAAAATTTCGAGCATCTGGACACCCCCCAAATCGCGATTAGAGCTATATTTAAGGAGATACATCGATTTAAAGGTTTGGGAAACCCACCGGCCGACAAATAATGATTTATGAAATATTTTGTACTGGGAAATTTGGATATGAAAATTTCGAGCATCTGGACACCCTCCAAATCGCGATTAGAGCTATATTTAAGGAGATACATCGATTTAAAGGTTTGGGAAACCCACCGGCCGACAAATAATGATTTATTAAATATTTTGTACTGGGAAATTTGGATATGAAAATTTCGAGCATCTGGACACCCCCCAAATCGCGATTAGAGCTATATTTAAGGAGATACATCGATTTAAAGGTTTGGGAAACCCACCGGCCGACAAATAATGATTTATGAAATATTTTGAACTGGGAAATTTGGATATGAAAATTTCGAGCATCTGGAGACCCCCCAAATTGCGATTAGAGCTATATTTAAGGAGATAAATCGATTTAAAGGTTTGGGAAACCCACCGGCCGACAAATAATGATTTATGAAATATTTTGTACTGGGAAATTTGGATATGAAAATTTCGAGCATCTGGACACCCCCCAAATCACGATTAGAGCTATATTTAAGGAGATAAATCGATTTAAAGGTTTGGGAACCCCACCGGCCGACAAATAATGATTTATGAAATATTTTGTACTGGGAAATTTGGATATGAAAATTTCGAGCATCTGGACACCCCCCAAATCGCGATTAGAGCTATATTTAAGGAGATAAATCGATTTAAAGGTTTGGGAAACCCACCGGCCGACAAATAATGATTTATGAAATATTTTGTACTGGAAAATTTGGATATGAAAATTTCGAGCATCTGGACACCCTCCAAATCGCGATTAGAGCTATATTTAAGGAGATACATCGATTTAAAGGTTTGGGAAACCCACCGGCCGACAAATAATGATTTATTAAATATTTTGTACTGGGAAATTTGGATATGAAAATTTCGAGCATCTGGACACCCCCCAAATCGCGATTAGAGCTATATTTAAGGAGATACATCGATTTAAAGGTTTGGGAAACCCACCGGCCGACAAATAATGATTTATTAAATATTTTGTACTGGGAAATTTGGATATGAAAATTTCGAGCATCTGGACACCCCCCAAATCGCGATTAGAGCTATATTTAAGGAGATACATCGATTTAAAGGTTTGGGAAACCCACCGGCCGACAAATAATGATTTATGAAATATTTTGTACTGGGAAATTTGGATATGAAAATTTCGAGCATCTGGACACCCTCCAAATCGCGATTAGAGCTATATTTAAGGAGATACATCGATTTAAAGGTTTGGGAAACCCACCGGCCGACAAATAATGATTTATGAAATATTTTGTACTGGGAAATTTGGATATGAAAATTTCGAGCATCTGGACACCCCCCAAATCGCGATTAGAGCTATATTTAAGGAGATAAATCGATTTAAAGGTTTGGGAAACCCACCGGCCGACAAATAATGATTTATTAAATATTTTGTACTGGGAAATTTGGATATGAAAATTTCGAGCATCTGGACACCCCCCAAATCGCGATTAGAGCTATATTTAAGGAGATAAATCGATTTAAAGGTTTGGGAAACCCACCGGCCGACAAATAATGATTTATGAAATATTTTGTACTGGGAAATTTGGATATGAAAATTTCGAGCATCTGGACACCCCCCAAATCACGATTAGAGCTATATTTAAGGAGATAAATCGATTTAAAGGTTTGGGAACCCCACCGGCCGACAAATAATGATTTATGAAATATTTTGTACTGGGAAATTTGGATATGAAAATTTCGAGCATCTGGACACCCCCCAAATCGCGAT